CCAGCCAGTGCCCCACTAGGCCCCCTGTACACCATCAACCAGCCAGTGCCTCACTAGGCCCCCTGTACCCACCATCAACCAGCCAGTGCCTCACTAGCCCCCTGTACCACCACCAGCCAGTGCCTCACTAGCCCCCTGTACCACCATCACAGTTCACTAGGCCCCCTGTACCACCATCAACCAGCCAGTGCCTCACTAGGCCCCCTGTACCACCATCAACCAGCCAGTGCCCCACTAGGCCCCCTGTACTACTTACCTCCACTGTCAAGTACCCACCGCCTGCCACTCTGCAACCTGGTGCAATGTGTGGAAACCCTTCAGAATCCATTCAACCTTCATCCCCCTCCTTCCAGTCAGACAGGCATGAATCTCAAGGTATTTCATCAAATAATATAAGGAAGATTAATGTAAATGCTGTGATTAATTTACATTTTTCTTTGTTTTGTAGTGTTAATCTATTGATCTCCTTATCCCCTCCATTTTACAGAAATAACACATCAAATGACACTATTCTACTGGACCTTACAAAAAACCCATCAGCAACTTTATTTTAGGAACAAAATGGCTTTCTATAAAAAATTGCAAAACTCCTTCTCACAAAAGGGCTACAACTTATCCAGTGAGAAAATTAGGAAAAAAACTAGCAAACATGTTGACCACTTATAAAAGGGTAAAAGACAGGCGCCGTGCAACTGGGGAGGGGAAGATCACCTGGGAGTACTATACAGTAAGTTGAAGACTGCTTTACTTTGTTTCTGAAAATAACATTTTCTAGTCTTGCATGAAACATTGATTTATTTATTTTTATTTTTGATTTATTTATTTATTTTTTTACATTTGAAATTCACCCCCACCAGCTAATGGATGAGTTGTTTGGGTCATCGGGAATCGGTACCGCATTACCAGGCACCATTCACTCCACACCTCTGGGTTTGGAAGAGACCTCCTCCAAAAGTAGGCCCACATCATCTTCCCAAGACCAGCCAGCAGGGGCTAGTATAGATGAACAGTCCGGAACCTCTACCATACCAAATACAAGCAGGCAAAGACGATCACAACAACCCTTACAATTTCTGGAGGCTTATGAAGAGCATGCCGAGAGAAGGACTGCTGTGCTTGAGTCCCTGGTAAGGCCAGATCTGGAGAGATGGCGGCGACTTAAGGAGAGGCGCAGAAGGTCCTTTGAAAAAAAGATGTTGACCAGCTTGGAACAATTGTTGAGGAGCTAAAGAAAATGGGGAAAAGACAAGAGCAAATCATGCATTTATTACAGAACCCACATGAACGTCAATAATTTAAAGATTTTTTTTTTCTCTTGATTTGCAGCTTTCCCCAAAATGTTTCTCCCCCCCCCCCCCCAAAGAACACCATTTCAAATGAGAAACTAATCATGTTCAACAAATAAATGTCTTTATTTCACACAAAATCTGTTTCTTTTATTATTTGTTGAATTTTTTGTATGTTCAGTATACATTTATCAGATCTGGCCACAAATCTGGTCTCTACGATGACATGCATTAGTGTTGTGGGGTTGCTGGTGGTGTGGTTCATCATCAACACCATCATCTACCACAGCAACTTGATCACTGGGCTCTAAACAAAGATTATGCAAAATGCAGCATGCTGAGACTGCTGAACTGATATTAGAAATGCTTCTCATTTGCAGGCAATGGAGCCTCCTAAACTTAGATTTTAGAATGCCAAATGCATGCTCAATGACCACACGCGCTGCATTGAGCTTTCTGTTAAAGTTTCTTTGCCTAGCAGACAAGTGGCCATTGTCTCTAAAAGGCCTCATAAGTTGAGGCAACAAAGGGTAGGCAGAATCCCAATTATGTGCATTCCCGGTGGAACAAGGGAATGAGGATCTTCTTCAAGAAGACGACAAACTTCTGTTAAACGAAATGCTCTGGCATCATGCCCAACTACCAGGGTGACCCACACTGATGTGACAGAAACGTCGCTGACTGTCACAAAACCCAGTTAAATTTACAGAATAAAACTGTTTCCTATTCATGTATGCTAGGGGATTATCACAGTGGGGTCTCATTATAGGAACGTGACACCCATCCACTGCACATACTGTGTTGGGGAAACCTGCTGCGTTAAACCCTAACTTTGACATCTCCAGCCTTTGACCTCTGGGCCAGGAAATGTGGTGGGACAAGTATTTTTCACATTAAAACAAAACTCATGGAGATGCTTGCAAGAGTGGATTTTGACATGTTGAATCAATCTGCCACCCCACGATATGACTCCTGATTTGCCAATGTCCAAAGGCAGGCAAGAACACTGTTTGTGAGTGGAAGTTTGGTCTGTTGTGAATTCATATAAACAGGACCAAGGATAGTAATGACATCCTGCAAAGGTAGAAAAAAAGGTTATCAAGACAACATGCTAACACACTGGTAATTGTTAATTTTATATTAACCAATACAAACCTCCACTTGTTCTTTGGTGAGCCTGAAATGACCTCTAAATTCTGAGGGACTGTAGAGAGGGACAACATCCTTCACAAAATTGTCTATTTTTGGAACCATTCTATATAAGAAGAGGAATTGCACTCAGTATATGCATGTAGCCTAATTGAAACACACGTATAGTCAAACTTTATTATCAGTGTTTTATGTTGAATGGGGATTTTAATGAAATAATTGGTGTATAGATAAGTGTTGAAATTTGAGAAACACTCCATTATTTTTTGTCAGAATGAGTAATTTTCTATATACCAAAATAATAATAATTAATATTATTAATAAAAGGCAAGCAACAGTAGCTATTGATTACAAAACCCACCCATTACATTAGTAATACATTGCAAAGACTACAGTGCAGAATTGTAAAGACTGTATCGATACAGTAGTTTTATTCAACATTTGTCAGATATTGGTAGTAACTTGACAAGTAAATTGATCATGTGTCTATAAATTGTTTTAAAAAGATACTCCTTACACATTTAACCTTTACTCACTTTCGTTGCTCATTGTGCTCAATTTCATGCAATAATAATGGAATTTCTATCGCTTCCAGTTCATCTGCGATAAGAAAGCAAACACCACGTGATCTGCCATGACTGACGTAATTGCAGCAAACTACGGGGACCAGAAAGTGTCCGACTTCACGTCTCCGTTTGCAGCTCCTCCCCGCCTGCACGCGGCTAATCTCGCCGATCGGTTGCATCCAGCCGCAGCCGATGTCGAACACACCTATTATAACTGACCCCCCAGCGTGAGTTTTTCAAGGCGACCGTTATTTAGAACTTGCCACTTTAATGTTTCCATGGTGACGCGTCTTTGCTTGTCATGTGACACAGCACAACCAAAACACGGCACTGAATGATCTGCTTTTGTGTCAATTTTCCTTTTTTGTTAAAATAATATTCATAAATGTATTAGCTATAACATGAAACACTGATATTCCGATTGTCAAATATGTGCAAGTGGATGGGTTTGACATGGTTTTAAACATCTTTATAACGATCGCGTTAGTTGAGCTTTTAGTTTCTTATCAGTTCAGAGAATCTGATCTGTTGGATTTACAACGTCAATTCCTCCACTTCTCACGAAATACATGATAGTAAGTGGCTGGTGAACTTGGAGAATAGGATCAAATGTAAAGTTTACACAATGTGTATCTGATATGAATAAAACGTGTTGTTGTCTTATTATAACTTGAAAGGATTATTGCCGCTTCCATAGACATCAGTGTGTATTTTACAAACTCAAAATCATTGTTTTGCTAGTACTTATGTGTATTTAAATGTCTGAAACCTAAAATAAACATTGAAAACACTCAATAGTTGTGTTATATGACAGCTCTGAGTGCGTCTGTCTCTGGCTTAGCGCCAGCCAGCGCGCGAGAGCAAGTTTGAATTTAGCAGTTGATGACGTGATGCACTGACCGTTCTAATCACACTGCTGTGATCGTACACTCCAGGGATCAGCCAAGAAGACTGATCACACTGGTATGTGCGAAAAAGTGACGATTTTGTAAACACTTGCCTAGTTTAGGTCATCTTTTCACGGACCACTAGGGGGCGATGGCGGACCACTAGTGGTCCGCGGACCACACTTTGAGAATTACTGACATAGATAATACAAATGATGCTTTAGGGGCTGCGTTTGTTTGCGTTTGTTTTCCCTTTGGGGTCAAACAAACGTTAGTGGTCCCACTCATCGTCTAAATCATACACTAGATTTAATTATATCATATGGAACCATTCCAACTGATATAGATATTATACCGCAAAGCGATGATGTCACTGATCATTACATGGTGACTTGCATAATACATACTGCTGAAATATGTCATGTTGCGCCACGTTATAGACCAGGCAGAACAATCCTTCCAACCAGTGGCGGCTGCTGGTCTTTCAAAGAGGGGAAGCTCTTTTTTCTTCTTCTTTTTTTAAAAATTTGACTGTCAGGTGTGGTGATGGTGAAAAGAGCGAGGACTCGATGCAGAGTTGATGGGCTTTATTTTATTGATAAAAAACAAAAACAAAAAACAAACAAGGGGAATAAATTGGGAGCAAAAAAGGCAGGTAACGAGGGAGGACAGGTGGGGCAAAATAACTAATAATCAGGAAACAAGATGGGAGTCAACACAATGACAGGAAAGCACATATTGTCACGTGTGAGAAAGAGGACCCAAAAGCAAAGGACAGTCAATGAGTGATTTAATGTTCAGAAGAGTAACACAGGAGCCGTAAGGCGAGTAAATCCAACAATGAATCTCAATGGTAATGGAACAGAAAGTCTCTTAATAACAGAACAGATAACTGCCGTCTGGATCAGCACGGACGGTCACTCAGAGGGCGAGACAGGCTGGGTCCGTAGAGGCACGGGAACGCCAATCCTGAACCACTCACGATGCTGGAAGTGTAGCAGAGTAGAGTCGAGGTAATACAGAGAACAGAACAGCTTGAACCAGACAGGACACGACACGACAGGATCAGGAGCGATATGCACAGGTACGTAACATAGAGCAATAATCTGACAAAGAACAATAAGAGAGAAGCCATGAAATAGAGAGTCTAATCAGAGATAGTGAGAAACAGTTGGGAAGGTAACGGGGAGGTAATGAGAGGATGAGCCACAGCTGGAGGTGACCGGGATAATGAATGAGTGATGCAAGTAATGTAATGTAAGATAGTGACCAGAAGGGGGCAGAGAAGGAAGAGAGAAAGAAAGAAAGAGCCAGGATCATGACAGTACCCTCCCCTCAAGGAGCGCCTCCTGGCGCAACAGAGGAGGACTGGCGTGAGCGATAGAAGTCATCAATCAGCGAGCGGTCCAGGACGTCCCGGGATGGAATCCAACATCTCTCCTCCGGACCGTATCCCTCCCAATCGACCAGAAATTGATAACCACGACCCGGGGGCGAACATCGAGAAGTCTGCGAACCCTATAGACGGGAGCGCCCTCGACGCGGACAGGAGGAGTGACAGGCCGAGGGGGGGCACGAATGACGGGTTTAATACATGACACGTGAAAGACCGGGTGGACGCGCCGAAGATTGGCAGACAACTTGAGACGAACAGAGACAGGACTGAGTATCTTAAGAATACGGAAAGGCCCGATGAATTTAGGGGCCAGCTTGCGAGACGTGGACTGGAGAGGAAGATTAAGGGTAGATAACCAAACTCTCTGACCCACAGAATAACGGGGACTCTTGACCCGACGTCTATTAGCGGCCCGCCGGGTACGAGAACGAGACTTAACTAAAGCGGACCTAACCTCTCTCCAAGTACGCTTAGCACGTTGAATGAAGGCTTGAACGGACGGCACCTTAGATTCAGTCTCCTGAGACGAAAAGAGTGGAGGCTGGTATCCGAGACAGCATTGAAACGGAGATAAACCCGTGGCAGAGGATGGAGCAGAATTGAAAGCGTATTCTGCCCAGGAAAGCTGTTCTGACCACGAAACCGGATTGCGAAAGGCGAGACTACGAAGGATGCGACCGATGGTCTGGTTGGCACGTTCCGCTTGACCGTTAGTTTGTGGGTGAAACCCGGAGGAGAGACTGGCCGACGCACCAATAAGACGGCAAAATTCTTTCCAAAACAAGGAAGAGAATTGGGAACCCCTATCAGATACGACGTCAGAGGGAAGACCGTGGATCTTAAAAACCTGGTCGACGATAATCTGGGCCGTCTCCCTAGCAGATGGGAGCTTGGGTAACGGAATAAAGCGAGCGGTCTT